CCGTTCTTAACTGATTCAGACGCCGAACTTTTCATGTACTTAATTCAATATATTTGGTTCGGCTCATGAAAAGTTCGGCGTCTGAACTGGGCCTTAGAGGATACACACACGGCATATTACTGGCTTCTTGGGGTTTATCCCCAGGTCAATCACGGGGATATCTTAGGGAACACGTTGGGATTGCGTGCGTGGGTATTTTGGCACTCCTAAGGACGGGGACTTCATAAGATTGTCAGTGAAGGCCTCTTTACACGAGCTGGGGTTGATTTTTAGCCCGAGTTGAATCACGACAGAGAGTACTGAAAACAAACACTTTACACGAACCCAGGTTTTCAGTGTGCAATAGCATGTGGTTTGCCTCAAGCTTGACCTGGGTTATTTGGGTGAAAGCACCAACGTTAACCCAGGTTAGCTTTTGGCCCAGTGTTTACATGACAGAATTTAAGCAATTTCAACCTTTCTAGCCAGGTCAACCCGATTCTCGACAGTGGGTGTAAACCTTTTAGCCGGATCAACCCAAATCTCAACATGAATCACCTTCTAGCCGGATCAACCCGAGTCTTGACAAGGGTTACCCGGCAAGGGGGCTGACCTAGCTTCACTAATTTTTTCATGTTACAGCGCGAACAAGCATTTGACTGCAAAAGGGTTACCCTTTGTAGTGATTCAACCCAGGTTAGAAAGTAACCCGGGGTTAATTGTATAAATAGGCCCTTAGAGGGAATATCATTGAAGAAGAATATAAACTAGGGTATTTAGCATGCTAAGACTCTCCTATCACTGGGGGTATCACAAAATTAAACTTATTTAATCCGTTTTACAGCCATTTTGTCTGGTATGGCCTACTAGAGGCCAACATGATTCAGAACAAATATGATTAGAACTCTGATAAATGTTCCACCACCGGTATCACATTGATATATGAATATAGTGCAAGGGTGCCTGTTTATGTGCCACCAAGCTTCCCCTAATCTGAAACAAATTCCTGTTTCAGCAGGTTGCCTTTATTGGAAGGACAAGTGTTGGTAAATCCTCTCTTATAAATGCATTGTTGAACCAGAAGAAACTTGTCAGGACATCTAAAAAGCCTGTATGTAAAATACCTATAAAAATCATATATCATTTTTACACCCCCAAAAAGTAATACCTTCGTATTTTCTATAGATTTTGGGAACTGTATTTTGCACCGCTGTTAGATTTTGGGAGATTATGTATTAATGTTGTAAAAACTAACAACCCAGACAAATGAATTGAAAATCTGAGATGTGCTTCCACAGTACTGTGTAGTTCAGTAAAAACCTTTAAAACGTTGAAAATCACCCTTAGCTACCTTGTCATCTTTGTGGTCATCATCACCATCCTCAATATCATTGTCATCATTATATTCCGTCCTTATCATGCCATGGGACACATAAGACCTCACCCCACCATGGAAAGCACCTTTTATGAGCACCTTCTTAATGAGGTTAATTTTAACTTTCTATTTTGGATTAAAAAAATGTGAAAATACAGTTAAATAGTTTTTTTTCTTTTGACTGTGTTGTTTTCATTGTGCAATATGCCTTTTTTTCAAGGGTCACACACGACTTGTCAATTTCTTCAACATTGGTTCAAAGATGTACCTTGTGGATCTACCTGGTTATGGCTATGTAGCAGGCCTAGGAAGCAAGCGTGGTACTGAGCACTTTGTTAATGTTGCAGAATCCTACCTTAAAGAACGGGCTGGGAAAGAGTAAGTTGATAATTATTTTCTCCATCTTTGTGAAAACAGTTTCATCATCTTCAGTTCCTTCTCCTGCATGGCAGAAGGTAACAAGACAGTGCTTGGTGTAAAATTACTGTACATTAAACTTTTTACAGGTTAAGAAGTGTTTGTCTCCTTATTGATGGAAAAGTTGGAGTCAAGAAAAACGATCTGATAGCATTTGAAATGATGGGAGAATTTGGGGGCCCTTTTCAGGTGAACTTTCTTTATTTTACTTGTAACATGGTAGATATCATATGTAGTCTTCAAAGTGATGTTCAGGTTGGCAGAGAAATATGCTGACAAAAAATGGAGGACAAAAGATGTGGTTCATTTGATTGATCCGTGTTTCTGTCCAAGCTTTAATTTTCAAGTACAAACCCATAAAATTAATTGTTGGTCAGGACAGGTTTGATTATAATAACAATAACAATTATAATAGTAATGATAATAGCTGATATAAATAGGTGATTTTCACTCTTGATTATATCACTCTGTGCCTCTGATTACAATTCCAAGTACGACTCTGTTGTTGTTGTTTTTTTAGTGAAAACCAGCTTCAAGTTTCAAACTGTGTAAACAAGGCTTGGCATAGTGTTTAACATTCAGCAACTGACGAAATGTAATATGGACAAGATTACTCTTTGTGTGTATTTTGAGCCCAGTTAGAGCAAAAAGTCTAATGCGAGACTCTAGAATAGACAACTCCGAACATTTCAATGGGCATATAAAGAAACTTAAGGTAGCAACTTATCAACAGGGCAGTACACATTGCACATGTATAGAAATTCGTTATTTTTTTACTTGAGATAAAGTTGGTTCACTATAGCTCTAACTTCTTTTGTTGGTGTAGGTTGTTCTTACAAAAATGGACAAGCTTCCCATAGTAAGGCATCAAATGATGATAGAAGAAGTTTACAAAATAAAAGAAGAGTTTGGACTGAACAATTGTTTTCCCCATATATTTCCTGTAAGGTAAGTTATTCTAATTGATGGTCCCCATATTCGGACTTCTGTTTTATAAACAAAATCAAATCAGGAAATTAACTGACTATTAGCAAGTACTAGCCCGCAAGGGCTACGGGCCAATAGCCCATGAGGCGAAGCCGAATGGGCTATTGACCGGTGTGGCCCTTGAGGGTGAAGGGTCTAATTGTTTTAGTATCACCCAACTAGTTGGACAGAAAAGGCAATAATAAAGTAAGCAAATGCAAGTTGAAGAAATATTTATTTGGGACTAAAACAAAAGAAAGCGTCA